TATTAAGCTTGAGTCACAAATATTCACACAAAAATTATCAAGATCGAGGTATTATGCAAGGTAAATTACATGCAAAAATATTGATTTTAACCAAACATCACAAAACTTGATAAAATTTCCCAATTTTCCTCTTTGATTCTCAAAAATTTGATATTAAACTCTAAGGTATATTCATGAAATATAGTTAAAAATTGATTAGAACCAATATTTCTAGATAAAAATTCCCTCCAACATTTCCCAAAACTGAGCTCCAAAACCTTGTGAGAAAAATTAACTAAATTCCAAAACAAGAAAAAAAAAATGCAACAGTTGTCCCAGCTCGATTCAGGTCCCAGATGATCCCAAAACTCACGTTTAATTAGATCAACACGATCCTTGCGATATTACGCCCAAGATAGCCTCTTGAATCACCCAATCTGGCCTTAAAATGAGGGAGATATGATGTTTTAAAATTTTTAAAAAATATATGAAAATTTCAATGGTATTTTCGTAATTATTTACACCAAAAAAAACCATCTTCGTTTTAGCACCCAAAACTCATTCGGACCGGACACAAACCATATATGCATTTCAATCATAAATCACGCTACGAACCTGCTCGCTCACTCAAAACACTAAAAAGAGGTGATCTTGATCCGATATTGAACATGATCAAACTTCAAATCCTAACTTAACTAGTTTCTCAACCAATGTTTCAAAATACACCCGAGACCTCAAGGACCCTATATAATCATACCAACAAGTACAAATACATCATACAAACTAATCCAAAGCGTCAAAACACCCACTGCAACATCACAACATAGAATCAAGGTTCAAACCGAATAAAATTTCTCTTAAGTTGTTAAATCTTCATTCTTTCAAAAGAGTGTCGGAATCACACTTAAACACTTCGGATCACTTTCAAACATTACACACAAGTTCAATTCAACTATATAGATCTATCCAAAGTCTCGGAACACCAATTGGAATCCAATAACATCAAAGTCAACTCTTAATCAAACTTATAAACTCTTAAGTTCTTCAAATAGCAAACTTTCGATAAATAGTGTTGAATTCTTATAGGAAACTCCGAAACTAAATCTGGACATACGTACAAGTACAAAATCATCATGTGAACCTATTGGAAAACCTAATTCCGAGTCCGTTTACCCAAAAGTCAAACATTGGTCAACTCTTCCAACGTAAAGCTTCTAAAACGAGAATCATTATTCCAAATCAATCTGAAACCGCTCGAAAACCGAAACTAAATCATACACGCAAGTCGTAATACATATTATGAAGTTACTCAAAGTCTCAAACCACATAATAGAATGCTAAATCTCAAAATGACTGGTCGGATCGTTACAGATATTTGAAGAAAATTGCAGATTATTCTCTATGTTATAGTGAAAGTAATTTACTCTTGAGAAGGTATATAAATGTTGTTTGGGTTGATGACTGGAATAAGAAAAATCCAGCTCTGGTTATACTTTCTTGCTTTATAACGGGTGTTATTCCATGGAAAACCATAAAACAATCTTGCACTGCCCTTTCAACTATGAAAACTGAATTTATAGCTTGTGCATCTGCTTACACGAAGTTGTTTGACTAAAAACTATTCTTTGAGCATTTTGATATTGCAAATAATTTTCATGTTCCATGATTTTAGATTGTGATAGTCAGGCTGCTATTACATATGCAAAGGAACCTAAATATTACGATAAGACCTAACACATTGCTATCAAGTATAACTTCGTGAGAGACATCATGGTAAGTGAAGTAATAAAATTACAATACATATCTAAGCAAATATGATGACTGATCCTCTTACAAAATCAATATCTAAAAATAAGTTTGAGAAACATGTTATGCTTTAGGCTTGTGAAAGATTCGAAAAAGGTAGGACATCAACTATCTTATACGGGCAATCGCCTATGACATAGAGGAACATGCAGAGATGAGACATATTAAAACTTGTATTACTGCAAGGACATGTATATCTTTGGATAAAATAACCGGCCTTGAGTAGTGCTCAGACTAATGGATTTCACATTCTTATGACTTATTTTGTAAGCCAAATGTGAGTTTTTCAAAAAGTTATTTTCAAGGATTATTTGAATGAAAAACTCGAATTAGACACTTAGAGATATCTAGACTAAGATCTATACGGTGCTTTATATTTGAGAATGAGACACACAGGCCAGATCAAGATGAAACCACGTAGCACGTGTTTCATATCACGTGTGCTAAATTCTTCATTGTATGAGACCCCAAAAAGTTACATTGGTATCTTATTGATATATCCTTTGACCTTTAACTATCTCTTGAAGTACCAATCTATGTTTCTACTTTATCATGTCACTAATAGTCATGAGCGATTTGACGGTACAATACATGTCTAGAAGAATAAATGATTTGGAACAGATAGATTCGAGTAAAAAGAAAAAAAAAACTAAAATTAATAATTCAACTAGTATTCACAGGTCGACCATTGCATTTACCATGAAAATATCAGAGTATAATTATGAGTACAATGTTATATATTGAACTTGAATTCATCTCTTTCGAGGATGAGGGTCCAGATAAGCAATTATGCAATGCAAACTTTCTAATGTATTGCGAGTAATAAATCCTCACATCAATGGTGAATCCTTTCCGCATGTAGTTGAATTTTTATACGAAGCTTTTGTACAATCTTAATGGGTTTAAAAATATTATAGTTCTTGATGCTGGCAGATGGCACAAGCTATTTATCACTATGAATTATATATTATTAACTTGATACTAATTTGGGTCTACCCCGCCATGTAAGAAGTAGGAGAAGTTAGATTTTAGGTCTTGAAGAAAAAATAAGATAGAGTAGTTACCGGAAAGTTACCACAGCTTCAACCCTCTGAACAAAATGTGTATAAGATGTCGGGTGAAACTCACTAAAGGTTAACTTCTCCATTAAAGGAAACTTGCTCTCTTCTTCTCTATTAACTGAGAAAAAAATTCTGTCTTTTTCTCCCATAAACACACATTGAAAGACATTTAGTTCGTGAATCAAATTTCGTTCCCTACCAATCGGAGTGTACTATTTTAATGCTGAGATCAATAATTCTTCCACTACACTAATAGATACACAATCGTTGATCTTGTCCTACAATTTAATCTTACGTTATTGTTATACATGTTGTCAGAGTAATATGTATGTACACATTTGAGACAAAATCCATACGTTCTACTGCTAACAAGGCAATTGTGAATTTCACGAAAACATTTCCCTCACATACCCAAAAGATAAAATTCTGTCGCAAGCTAGGATTTTATATGCGTTAGACAAGGAATCTTTCATCTTCAAAGAACATTGCCAAGCATCATGGCGAGGAGGAAGAGTCACTTCAAAGCTCTCACAGAATAAACTTCCCTCAACCGAGGAGAGGGAATTGACAAATCACAAACACCAATTGGGACATCGACGGATAGCTAATGCTTTGCCAAATGACCCATATATTATATAACATAACACCTAAAAGTGCAAACTTCGCCAAGTTTAACGAGCTGAAATTTATTATGCTCAGTTCAAAGTCTGCTCTCTAACGCAAGGCCCTCAATGGACTTAATATCCCCCTTTCTTCTGGACGAGTCACTGCTCGAGTCATCAACAAGCTCATAACCTCTGACTCAACCATACGATTATCTCCTTCATAATTTCTTCTCTCTCAGGTTCAAAGAGCAGGTCATGCAGTAACCCATCGTACAGCTTGATATTTTTGTCAGTGGAAAGAGCCTCTGCATAGAGCTTCTTAGAGGCTTCTGGATCGGTTACTGCATCATCTGTGCCATGGAGAACCAGGAATGGGATTGTGAAGCTGCTCAAGTTCTGTTGCAAGTTGGCAGTGATCCGGAGGATCTCGTAACCAGTTCTCACCCTAATGGCTCCAGTGAATACTAATGGATCTGAGTATTTGGCCAATAAAACCTTTGGATCCCTAGATACTGTCACACCCTCCTTGTTTGCCGCACTGAATTGAAACCTTGGCATCAGAAAAGAGACAACTGGAGCAAGTGCCTATATAAAAAACATGTCTTCTAAAATAGTAAGGCTCGAGGCAAAATATTAACCTCCACATTATGTCTTGCTTAGTGGAAAATGGAGGTACATCCGCAGAAATTGACTTAAAACGAACACTTACAGTGAAAATTGGATGAGCTGGTTGTACTCCCACAGCAGGTGAAGTCAGTACAACACCACATATCCTTGCTCTCACTTTCGGATCAAGTGATGCCTGCATGGCAATAAAGGGAAGTCAAACACAGTCTTCGCTACAAAGTTACAGTTATAAAACAGTAAACAATCCTATAACACAACATTACCTTAAGGACGATGGCTGCACCAGTGGAATGTCCAAAGCAAAAACATTTAAGTCCTCTATTTTCAGCTAAAATTTTTGAGAGAAACTGCTTCTGCACCAAATCGAAGAAAAATCGGTAAGTACCACTTCTACCTCAAAATTGTCTCTCGCTTAACCACATTATGAATCAACTTGTCATACCATGTCACTAACAGCATCATCAAGTGAAGGAACGTATGCATGCAACCCATCGCTTCCGCCGTGTCCTGCACAAACTTTATAAACTTTAAAAGGTGAAATCTCAAAATATTCAAAAAGAACCAAAACTGAATAGAACTATTATTCACTACTCAAATAAATCAACCAATATGACAATTGTTCATAAAAGAAAGAGACATAGCAAAGTTCAAATACGCTATCTAAAGGTGCCAAAAAACCCACATTGAAAAATCAAGAAGAAACCAAAAGTTGAAGCAAAGAAAAGAAAAAGGCAAAGATTATGTGGGGTATGTATGGCAAAAAGAAACTTATTATGTACGGAGCCAAATAGTCAACGTGTTTAGCTTTGCATTGTCATTATCTATGCTTACGCCAACATCAGTTTAGCTTACGTGTGATAACTAAGGTAAGCCATTCACCTAGGCTAAAACCTCATTGATGTGCAAGCAAGCTTGGGCCTTGATCAGACGATCTGACTGCATAGAGGTAGCACATAATATGACTGCAGACTGACAGCAGCAAAACGATCAAATACAATATTGAAGCATATTACAGTACTGGGACTTGAACTGTGCGTTTATTAATTCATAAACAAAAAGTTTGGGAACTTTCATTCAATTTAATGGCTTAGGTTCAGCGTTTTCTGAAATCCACTTCCTCCGTCTGTCATTCTTTCATGCACAAAGGCAGATGCAAAAAGTTCAGGTCAATAGGCTTACTATAAGAAGGAGCTTCCCCTGTTAAATTTTCTCACAACTGGAATCCTGGTTGGGAAATATTCAACTCCTGCAACATGCAAATGTAGGTGCATAGTTGTGCTAGACCATAATAACAGCAACTAAACAATTAGTTTTCATTTCCCCTTCTAAGATTGATATAACAAATGAATATCAGAATTGCAGAACTGAGAAAGGGGGCTGTTCTGGTCTACTATTACTATTGCTAGATAGCCTCCCAAAGTTAGATTTTTCCAAGAAGAGAGGTAGAAACCATGTGTAAACTAGTTTGTTATTTAATAAATCGCACTCGGATGACATCCTGACATAACAGTATCAAGGACAATGATACAATAACTAGAACCTGAATGACCCCAAAGAGAATCCAATTATGAGATTTCTATCTTTACATGTTGATAGTCCTAACTGAAACATCTACCCAAGAGTTCATAGCCAGATTACTGATGAATGATGCTTGAGATTATCATAGGTTTTACATAGGGATGACAGGTAGGCTCCTTATTTAAACTTCACTCCATCTACCACTCTCTCTTTCTATGCGGATGAGTACACCGCATAATACTCTCCTATCCCTTCTCCTTTCTTTTCAACCATGGATGTAAAACGTACAGCTAAAATCATGGATAATAGAGAAAGCAACTAAAGATCTCGTATCAATGAGTTTCATCAGATTAGAGAGAATTAGATTAGAACAGAGTCAACAAATAGATGAAGAATGTAGCTTTCTAGATGAAGTATAAAATACGGTTCAAGGTAATCTAGTAGAAGTACAAAAGGAGAACTAACTTAAAAATGAACATCAGAAACCTTAGCAAGAGTAGCTTGTTAGAGTCTACACGATTACAAATGACAAAATCTTAAAGAATAGAAGAGCCATTCAGACTCAGACTTGAATGACGTAGACCGAAAAACATGTGTAAGTTTCAGGTAATGATGGAAACTAACATTATACACAATCTGTCTCAAGGGACAAAGTGTCACACCCCAACCTTGGGAGGTGTGGCTGGCACCCGATGCCCGAAGGCCCGAGCGAACCAACCATGAGATATGATCTGAAATATAATAACCTTGTCGATGGGGTTATATACTGTTTCCAAGACCTCAAAAGCCTTAGGAATGATTTCCTACATAATACAAACCATTCAAAATCAAATTCAAGCTCATAGCTTAAATAATTCTTCATTTAGACATTTACGCGAACAACTTGTGGCCATGAATTTGTAGACTCTTTTGTAGATTAATTTCCCCCCAACACACCACCAAATTTTTCTTTACTACATCTCCTCATCAACAGAATTCCATCCATGTCTTCACAGATCAAAACAACACAATAAAACCATATAGAACAGCCCCAACAATCAAGCCATATTAATAGAGGTTTCTTAAGAAAAATCAAGAATATTTCTATAGAGGTTTCAACTATTTCTTAAGAATTCTTATGGTAGAAGTTTACAAAGATCAAAGAGAAGTTAAATCATACCTTACGTGACCANAACTTACCAATCCAATCCATTCCATAAACTTTAAGGCCACTTGCATTCAGCTTCTTGGCAAAGTCATTATACCTGCCACTGTAGCAGAAAGAATGTCGGGTGTCTCTAAGATGATGAACAGAAAAATCAAAGTGGAAACCACAAGAGTTCTTCAAAGGCTAGTATATAAACCTGTGTTCATTCAGGCCATGCAATATGAAAACCAATCCCCTACACAAGGTAAACAATATTGTTAACTCTACTGTTTCTTCGGTAGAAAAGTTTGATACAGGACTTGTACAAATCTGCGAAATAATAAATAACAAACTGCTTTCATACAGTCTAATATTTTTATGTATTTGACATAGATAAAAACTCTTAAAGAACTTATTGATGGTGATGGGAATTGCACTGGGTCATGAAAGGTAACTTTGCAGCTAGTCCTAACAGGCTTTCAAATCTTGAAGTGACAGTGGGTCGAGAATACATTCTTCTCCACCTCACTTCGGTTGTTGCAGTGAGGACTCACCTACTAATCTGATGAGGGATATACAAGAAGAAGCGCCAATAAAAGAACATGCCATCTCAAACTTACTAAAAGGAGGAAATATCGACGTCGGCTGCTAAATTATTTGCTAGCTCAAATTATTTACTACAACATAATTACCCCACATAATGTAAATAAAACTAAAAATTCTAGTCCATCCAAACAGAAAATAAGTTGTCACAGCAATTGAATAAGGTAATGCAGTAGTATTTTTGCCAATACTTTCTTGAAATACTCGGTAATTACTTTTCCTTATGAATTAGTTTTCTATTGCAGTAGCCAGTAGCATCCTATCCATAAGCCAAAAACAAGTACAAAAACACAAGTCAACCCTCAAATGAAATGTCTACACCCTCTTAAACATCACAACAAGGTATTCGCTACAGATTTAGCTAACTAATATACAATGATATACTGTTGTAATATAACCCGTAAGTGTTATAGCAATTACATGTCTTATTTTTCAACTTAGTAGTTTCACATATTATAGAGAATTTCCTATAGTTATATTGTCTTTTAGGCGACCTCATAGTATAAAAGTTCTTTTGAATACTGCCCAAACACAGAAATTGAACTCATTGGCTACATTAGAAGGTTCATTGCATTAATGGGCAAAAAATGGAAACGTAAAACAAAATATATCAAACATCCTAAGACTTCCCACAAAAAATTAGATAGATGAGGTAACTTGGACTAATTATTAGTCAAAGGAAAAGATTGCTTGATCATTTGGAAAGCTGTAGTAGTAATTAATTAATTAATCAGATACCTGACTTTGGTGGTAAGTGGCGTCCATGACTGGGTGAACATGGTGTCTCCTATTGACTTACCAAAACATGAAAATTCCCTCACCGTATCCTTATCATCATCCTGAAGCACTCGCCTTATCGCCAACGCTCTCCTCGCCGCCACTTCCTGATCCACCAGGCTCTTCCGCGGCACCATTTTTGCTGGCACTCGCAAGAAAGTCCCCTTCCTTTCCACCACCTTAACCTTTTCAGCCTCCTTCACTTGCGCCATTCGCCTCCGCCCACGAAATGGCAGCAGAAATAGAAGCAAGAATGCATTGAGCAGCAGCCATAAACTCCTCAACATGCGCAATGAGAACAGTGCACTCACTCTCCCGCTTGCCCCTGAAGTCAGCATTACCGTGGCTTCGTTCGCCTTCCCTACCTCAACCGCCATTGCTTCTTTTGCTACAGGTTATAATAATTTCAGCTCTGATCAATTTTTCTGAAGATGGAGATGCAAATTTGGCTTTGTGTTTGTATTGATATTTGCTCCAGAATTGGGTTTAATTCTTGCAGTAGTACGCTTCGTAGATTATCAAGCGGATCATATAATGGGATATTCGTCGTTGCACCCCAAAAAAATCAAAAAGTTCAGCTTTCTAGGAAAGAGAAATTGTGGTTTATCCAACGTTAAGAGTTATCAGATAAGGTTTGATTATATGATAAAACTTTAGGAATTGGACTGAAGGAATGCGTAAGTTTTCTTGGCTTTTTTTCGCTCTCTGCAAATAAATTGGAAACAGTCTTGGTGTGGAGAAATTAAAAGGTTGAAAGAATTAGAATAGAGACGGTGTGTCACGCAATGGTGAATCACCGGTTCATAATACAGCCACGTGTCATCTAACTAAACGTTTTGATATGCTGCGATTTGATTTGTTTCTGGTTGGTTGGTTCAGTATTCTGGAGAACGAGAATATCATGACACGTGTCCTTTGATAAAGATCATGACTACTAAACCGCTGAAGTGGGATGTAATTGACACGTATATAAGTGATTCGGAGGGCCGGTCAGCGTAGGTTTTCTTGTCCTATTTCCTTTTGAGTACTAGTAACATTTTTATCTGTTTTTAGTTTTTAACGGAGGTAGGATCTTGGATTCTACGAACAAGCACCTTGTTATTATTAATGCTAGTACTAGTATTGAACTTAATGGTGCACTGTGGGCCGGGCCTGAACCGGACCGGACCGGACCGGGCCCGCAGTCCTAACGGGTCTAACGGGCCTGGTGGACCGATCTTAACGGTCTTTAAAGCCCGTGGCGGGCCGGTTCTTCCTAGAAAGCACACGAGCCCGGGACCGGCTGGCGGGCCTGGACCGGGCCTAACGGCTAGTTTTTATTTTAAAAAAAAAAGATTAAAAAAATTCCAACGGTCAAAATTTAAAAAGTAGCCGTTTGGGCTGCAATTTTGACTGTTTGGATGTGTAGAAAATAGTCATTTGACCCCCAAACTTTATATAATTACACTTTTTTCCAATTCTCAACTATAAATACCCTCTCATTCTTTCATTTTTACTCACCAATTCATCAATCTCTCTCAATCTCTCTACTATAATTGCT